TAGGACCACAGCCTGGTGTCAGGCTACTGGAGTCTGAACTCCAGCTCCACCCCTTACCAGCTATTTAACATTCCGGAAAAATAAGGATCATGAACAGTACCTGGCTCAGAGCGTTGTTGAAAGGATTAAATGTGATAGGTCAGGTTAAGCCCTTAGAAACCTAGCCAGAACTCATGAAATGTTAGCTAATAATAATAGTATTGAGTCCTGGCTGGTGTTGCTCAGTGGAGCACCTGCCTGTGAATCAAAGTGGGTTGCTGGTTTGATTCCCGATCTAGAGCACATGCCTGGGTTGTGGGCCAGGTCCCCAGTAGGGGGTGTGTGAGAGGCCACCACGCATTAATGTTTCTCTCCCCCTCTTTCTCCATCCCTTCCCCTCTTTCTAAACATAAATAAAGAAAATCTTTAAAAAAATAATAGTATTGAGAACTTATTGTGTTCTGGGCACTGTACTAAGTGCATTACATATATTCCTATTCCCTATGACAAAGTTGGTATAATTTTCATTTCATAGATAAGGAAACAGACTTTGGAAAAAGTGGGTAACTAGCCTGGGTTTATTTAGTGGCAGGACCAGGGCTCATGCCATGTTTGTTGAATCTAAGATTCTACCTCTTGAAATAGTATATTTTTACCTGGAAATTGTTTGATTAACTTAAAGGAAAATGGGGAAAATAGGTTTTATTCCCTTACATACAAAGTATAAAAACTATAAACATCCTTTTTGGCAACCACTCTCATTTACTTTGTCCCCTAAACCTAATCAAGTGTAAAATCCTTTTAAACAACATCTGTAGTCCCCAGGTTTCTAATCTTAGTATTATCAGTAGCTAGCTATTGCTGGACTCCTGCTTCATCATCTTGCAAATGAAATTTTGAGTTACTAAGTCATTGATCCTTTCTCACTCTGAAATTCCTCCCCTTTTGTTGGTCTAAAAGCACCTTGGCAAGCTGTTGCTACCGCCCAGAGGAAGACTGTTGTTGCAGACCTGCAGAAGGGATTGCGGCGGTTTGAGACTGTGGTGGCAAAACAGGCTGCCGTTTATTGTCTACTGTAAGCCAGGCACTTCCCTGGGCATATTCCGTGTGTGTTTCTATTCTTCAAGGTAGGTATTACAAATGTTCTTAAACTGAGAAACCATAGTTTAAATTATTTTTAAAGATTTTATTTATTTATTTTTAGAGAGGGAAGGGAGGGAGACAGAGAGAGAGAGACAGAGAGAGAGAGACAGAGAGAGAGAGAGAGAGACATCAATGTGCGGTTGCTGGGAGCCATGGCCTGCAACCCAGCATGTACCCTGACTGGGAATCGAACCTGCAACACTTTGGTTTGCAGCCTGTGCTCATAGTTTAAAATTTTTAATAACTTATCCTAGGCCACCCAACTAATAAATGAGTACTTGAATTCTGCTTTGAGTCTGGTGGTTTTTCAGCAATGACAAGAACCAAAATAGAAGCATCTTGCAAAGGAGGAAATGTGCTTGAAAATCCATCCTTTTAGCCAAAGCACAGAACAGACTGTGTTCCACCTTCCCTGAGAGGACCCTGCACCTTGGAGCCAGCATTCATGCCTACCTCTTAGGCTAGTTAAAGCTGTTACTACTCTAGCATAAAAATTATTTGTTGAGGGTGATAAAATGTAGAGTTCATATCCAGAGATTCTGACTCACAGTCTGGAGTAGGGCCCAGGCATCTACATTTTAAACAGGTACCCCAGGTGATTTTCATTCAGATGAGAAACCCTGCTCAGTCACACTGGACTGTGGTTTCTGTAGGAGCTTGAACCCAGTGAGTCATATAGTCTCCTAAGGCCTATCTGGGATGTGCACACTCTACTTTTTCAAAGGATGGGCTGCCTACTGGGAGATAGTATTTCTAAACCTGGTGTTTATCCTCCAGTCCCAGGATGGGCTCAAGGCTCTTCAGATGGGAAACTATCCTCTATAGGATGGCTTTGCACTCTTGCCTCAAGATTTCATATGCATGAAAGGTATTTCATACAGTCCTAAGTATGCCCACCATGATGACCAACTTCCCTTTCTAGCTCACACTGCGTCACCCGCAGCCCTCTACTCAGCATTAGGCTGTTTTCTGTGCAAGTAAACTCACTGGACTGGGGTGGGCCTTGACTCAGTCTGGCCAAGGTCTAGATAGAGGTGGTCTGACAAAAGAGATTCTATTCTGCCTGGTAAGGGCAATGGTAATTGGCTAAAACCACCAGATGGGATCCACCCAGATGTGGGGTGGCAAACTTGAGACCATAACTGTTGGGAACCACCCTGCCTGGCTTCAGAAACTGTAGCCCTTCCATGGTTCAGGCTGAGTAAAAAGACTGTGGGACCATAAGCCACTTAGGAGACAAAGCTTATCTTCCTTGTAGGGCCACCACCTCTGCTCCCTTTCACCTCACCCTGGTTGGCCCTGGGCAGATGACTGGTTGATGGGTAAGATTCCTCAAAGGAGGGATGACCTAAGACAGGCACAGTCTCAAAGGGGGCTCTCAGGGAACGACTTGGGGGGCTATCGAAAAAGGGGGCAATGGGCCCTCACCCCTCAGCTTTGACATAGCCTGAGTCCTCATTCTGTGTGCAAGAAGTCACCTAATCTCTTGGCAGCCTTACTTCCCCTGCCCGACTTAAGCCTGAAACAATGCCAGAGGTGGGTGAGGCCCTGTGCTGGAAAGCATGGGTTCCTTGAGGTGATCAGGCCTAAGAAGGAATGCATAAAATCCTGTGAAACTTACTTTGCTAAAACCCTCAGTTTAAAGGGTCCAAGGGTCCAAGGGTCCAAGCATGAAGTGAGTTTGTTCCCCAAAGTTTTATGGTCCTTTAGCTTTCTGACCCTGACTCAGAATAAGCCCTCAGAGTTCTTTGAATGTTATCTGTTGTTTGATCCTTACTGCCTGACAATGATTGATGAGTTTTGCCTGTATTCCTATGCTCACCCAATAAAACCCAATAAATCCAAATTAAACCCAGTAAAAGCCCATTGAGGAACAGGTTCCTGGCCCTTCTCCTTTGAGAGATCGGCCACCTTTCCTCCCCAAGCAAATCATGTCTTGGTAGACTTATTCTCATCCACAATGCTGCGGATACTGCTGGCCAGTGTCCACATCAATTAACCACTAGTAAGAGATCAGAACTGATAGCTGCATCCTCAGTAAGGGTTCCCCACTCCCTGCGGCAGTGTCTGAGTGGGCGCTTCCTTAGGTCCCCTGCAAAAATCCCCACTACCGCACACCTACCAGCTCCCAGAGGGTACTGATTCTCATTCTCTGATGTGATTCTCACTTTTGATTTGTTCTTTTTATCTTCAGCCCCATTTCACACATGAGGAAGATAAAGTTTAGTGAAGTTAAGCAACTTGTCAGAGATCAAAGAGCAATTAGTGGTGGGGTCAAAACTCTCCATAAGAATAAAATGCCCAGGTGATAACCATGTTCTTTCGCTTCCAAAGCAAAAATCTTTTAAACACTTTGCCCCACCCCCATAATGAGCTGTAGTCCAGAGTTTCACATTTCCAACTTCCCAGCAGGTCTTCCTACCCCAGGTATTAGCTCCAATCTACCTTTTACTCCACAAACAAAGCTACCTGACCCAAAATGCAGATCTGGTCATGTGACTTCCTGATTAAGTCACTTGCATACAAAACAGTTCTCCATGATGTGACCTTCTAGTCTTGCTCTTCCAGTCTCATTCATTCACACCAATTTGTACCAAATCTTCCAGACACTGTATTCTTTTCCCTGTGTTTCTTCCATGACTCACTGTTACCTTCTTCAGAGCTAGCTTTTTATGTATTTAATTAGCCTATACATTGAAGAGAATGTATGGCAAATTTATGGTGTAAAGAACAATAAAAGTCAATCGCGGTGCCACCAGTTTAAGAGCACTACCAAAACGCCGTGTGAGAGTGTTTCTTTGACTCTGTGCTTCTGCACATGATAGACTACGCCCTTCCAGGCCTTAGTCTGCAGAGTGAACTCATCGTTTAGAACCTCAGGTTCAGCTTTACCTCCTCCGGGAAGCCTCCCTTGACTCCCTTGCAGGAGGCTCAGTGCTTCCATGATGCCACTGTGGCACTTATAAAGGTATTATATTTGCTATGATTGCCTCCCCAATAGATTGAAGATTCCAAATATCGTCTGATCGCTTTATCTCCAGCAACCAGCAACCAGCAACCAGCCTAAAGGCTAGTTACACAGAAAGTGCCCAATAAATATGGAGTCCACACAACCTGGTGTGCTTAGAGAGGCCTGGTTTATGCCTCTGGTCCAGGAGTAATTATTACAGGTACTTCCTTTTACTCACAAACCTGTCCTAATTTAGATAATCAATTATATGACTGCCCTATCAATAAATGTTCTTGAATGAATGATGAGTGGAGGTAGATTTTCACTGATAGAATAAGGCAGGAAAAACTGATATGTAAATATCCTCAAATAAAAATTCAATAGCTGGCCTTGGCTGGTGTGGCTCAGTGGATTGAGTGCCGGCCTGTGAACCAAAGGGTCTCTGGTTTGATTCCCAGTCAGGGCACATGCCTGGGTTTCGGGCCAGGTCCCCAGTAGGGGGCACACTTCCAGGAGGGGGCACCTGTTCCAGAAGTTCCTGACTCTCTTAGAGACAGAGAAGGTGAGTTTGAACAGACCAGATGCTCAGTAACTTTTATTGCATAAATAAGTTGAAAAAATATTAGGATATTCCTATCCCAAGAAAACCTAGATATAAAATGTGAATTTATAGTAAAGATCTATGTGAGAGATTATTTCTACCTGTTTACTACTTGATGGGAACTAGATGGTAGAGGAATTTAAAAAACTGACTTTACTACTTGTTGATAATCAGAAATGCAGATTAAATACTCCTAAAATGAAAACATAGTCAATGGGGACATAAATTTTAAGAATTTAATAGATGTTTTTTTTAAAGGCACCTCTCTTTAGTATACATATGCATACCAGTTAGTTATACTTGCTCTTAGGGAAAGATACACTCTCCTTGCCTTTGACATAAATACAAATTTTATTGAAGGCTTCTTTTGTTATTCAGGTAGAAAAATTATTTTCAATTACTGTTAAAGAGTGGAAAGTGAGGTAATCAATCTTTTTGACAATAATCTTCTGTTCTCCAATAGTGTCATAGTCTTTGAAAGTCGAAGTAACTCCTTGTAAATAAGGCTTTTAATAAATTACAAATACAGAAGGTCTCGTCCACCTTCTTCCTAACTACTTCATGCACTGTTGCACAGCAACAACTTTCCCCCGCTTCTTCGTTGGAAGCCTGAGAGTCTGAAACCTGCACTGGCTTGGATGAGCCTGGGGATTTTTCTGGTGCCAGGGGTGCAAATATCCATTGTAGAAATCAGTAGCTGTTAGAGTTTTCTTGAGCATCACCGACCGAAGACCAATCCAGCCATCCTAAAGGGCAAAAGGCAAACAATGAATGTGAAGTGTAGTAAAACTATGCAAATTTTGGTTTATACAACTTCATCATGAAAACAAATCAATTCACCAAAAACCTTTACTGAATGTCTAGCGGCAAAGAGCACTGTAACATATATGGTTCTTTGACTCCAAAAGTTTATTGCCTGCCCTGGCCAGCCTGGCTCAGGGGCTTGGGCGTCGTCCCACAAAGTGACAGGTCTCTGGTTCTGTTCCCGGTCAGAGCACAGGCCTGGGTTGCTGGCCAGGTCCCCATCTGGGGGCACAAAAGAGGCAACCATTGATGTTCCTCTCACACACTGATGTTTCACTCCCTCTCTTTCTCCTCTATCAAAAATAAATAAATAAAATCTTTTTTTAAGATTTACCTCTCCATGAGTATGAAACTTCTCACATAAACACCACATGAAGGAAATGGAAGGGATGTGGAACACTTCTTAAGAAAACACCCTTGTCTTATGAAACGATAATGGTTCCAAAGCCATTTTAAATTGTTACAAAATCTCCGTTCTAACCACAGTTGAACAGTAAAAGCAAGTGGGACACACACATGGTGGTTCAGCTCAGTACTCCGACACTTTTATGACAGCCCTACTAACAAGATGACTTGTTAATTAAACAAGAGCTTTGTTAATTAAATTGGGCTAGAATATAGAAGTTTCTTTTAAGGAAGCACTAAAATTACTGAATATCCTTTCACCATTTGACTAATAATGCCTTGGCAAATTTCATCACTTTCAAAAAATTATACAAGAGATTCTACTATTTATTTTTTTTAATCATCACCCGAGGACATGCTTATTCTTTTAGAGAGCGGGAAGAGAGGGAGACAGAGAGACAGAAACGTTAATGTGAGAGAGAAACATTGAATGGTTGTCTCTCATAGGAGACGGAACTTGCCACCTAGGCAGGTACCCTGACAGGGAATCGAACCAGTGACCTTTCAGTTTACAAGAAGACACTCCAACCAACTGAGCCACATGGCCAGGGCAAGACTCTGCTGTTTCTTAGGAAAAACTGTCCATTGACTGAATCTGATAGATAAGTAGTTCAGTGAAGCCCTAATTAAAAATGATAAATGATACAAACTATAAATTCAGTAAAACAAGTATGATAATTTAAAACTAAAGAAAATGTACCTTGCAACAAACCAGAAGTATCTGTGACTGTTTGTGGTATATTATGGATCCTGGAATAACAGCCTGTCCTGTTAATTTTGGGTCTAAAGAATGAGGGGTGGGGAAAAAAGGAAATGAGAGAGCAAGAATAATTATACAACTTCACTGTGCTTCTTAAAGATCAAAGACATCCTGGGAGGCAGTACTGACACTAGAGAGAACACATCTGCTGATGACCTGACTCCATAACCCAAAACTTAAGACGGAGCCACGGCACCCTGTGTGTACCTCGGACCCAAAGAGAAGCTTCCCACACAGACATACAGTTAAGAAGCTAATGTGTCCTTTACCCAGTTTCTCAGAGATGAACCTAAAAATGTCGAATCTTAAAGTTTTGACCATTTGGGGAAAATAACTAGCTACCAGTGGAGAGGTATACAGGAGGCTTAGGCTCTAAGCTGGCTCTTTCGTCCATGAGCAAACAAATCCCAATTCCTAGATTTCTGGGGAACTCTGACTCCCTCTGAACTACAGCAGTGCCCGCTGTGGCTCACTCTCCTTCAGTCCACCACCTTGGGGGGCACTGATGGACCACACAACAGGCCTGTAGTGTGCATGCTCTACTCTGGCCTAAGAGCCTCACTGAGCTGCCCAGACATTTTCATTAGGATATTTACCAGACTGAAATTAACCAAGTCATTTTGCACCCCCCCCCCCCCGAAAACTTTAGTGTAGGAAACCACAGAGCTTAACAATGGGATTGTAACACTGCTCTTACTTCCCAGGTTCCGATGATGATTAAATGAGAAAATACATTTGAATGAACACTAAATGAATGTAAAGTATTATCGGTGTTGAACCAAAATAAACTAAAAGAATCCTTATTTCAAGTAAATGTGACTTATAGAAAAACGGACACATTTTCAAACAGACTATAGTGAAAAAATTTCCATGTTAGTTATTCAAAAGTTAGTACCAGTGAGGACTGAACTATTAACTTCTACCAAATCCAGAAGTTTAATGGTATTATCCATCCAGAGTGTCTGCAACGGAATCTGCAAATATAATTAAAGAAGGTGTGATTAAAGAAATACCCTCAGCCCCCAACCCCTTTTTAACTAAACCTGTTCTGCGCTGATTGGGCCTGACTTGTCTCCCAGTTGCAGGGGAACTGGGAACTCAGTTTCCAAATCTTACGGAATGGAATATACACACGGTCCTCTACATCAGCCTCCAGGATTCTTAAGATCTTAACATTAAATACTATTTTACATCAGTGTTCATATCTTTATTAATACTACTAATTAAAAACATATGCACATTATAAAAATGTAAACATTACAGCAATTACATTAAAACATTTAGGATGTGAAAGTATTCTGTACTCCCATCCCCAGAGGTACCCACTGCTAACAGTTTGACGCGGGCAAGTAAAGCAAGGTTTTTCTTTAAACAAATATTATTATTAAAAATCTAGAACTTATAGTTTTATAAATTTTTTTACTTAACCATAAAACAGTGGACAACTTTTCATTAGTACACATTTATCTACTTCACTTTTTATCTGTTGCATAGTATTTCATTAAAAAATTAATTAACTAATTTATTTATAGAGAGAGAGGGGAAGGGAAGGACAAAGAGGGAGAGAAACATCGATGTGCAAGAGATACTTCGATCGGTTGCCTCTCACACGCCCCCAGCTGGGGACCTGGCTGGCAACCCGGGCGTGTGCCCCAACTGGGAACTGAACCAGCAACCCTGTGGTTTGCAGGCCGGTGCTTAATCCACTGAGCCATACCAGCCAGGGCTGAACATTAAATTTAAAAAATTAGATTTGAAGAAAAGTTCATACATAGGTGTTCATAATCTTATGTCTGACACATTTTGATATAATACCTTCTTCTACAAGTTTCTGACTCATTTTGCGTTACTCATATTGCTCCCAATGACAGGTTCTTCATGTGTGTGACTTTTTTCTTCCAAAGGGCTCAATGTGCTTTAGAAACATGCTTACTGACTAAAACGAGACTTATGTATACTGAGAGCTATAAACATGTTGGGAATGAAATCAAATACACAGTTCTTATTCTTGAGGTGGTAAAGCTTATCTTCCTCGATCGTCAGAGCATTACAGAAAGGAAACGGACGGTAAAAACAGTCATTTCAGTGTTGACCATCATCACCACTGAAATCGTATGTTTACAAGGAGTTCAATTCAGTTTATCTCCTTTGATCTTGACAGTTGTGGACACAGTCATTGACCCTGTTCTGGAGGTGAAAAAGCAGAAGCTCAGAGAAGATAAGGGCTCTGCTCTTGGTTAGCAATTGGAAGCTCTGGGAATCAAATCTCACTTCTGGTTCTAAGAAAAGTACTTCTTCTGTTTCAGCACAAGCTTTTCGCAGTGGAAAAAAAAGGTGAATTGCAGAAATAAGGATCATTATGCAGTAATATATCTCTGTGTTTAACTTCTTGGAAACAATGTCGCCCTGGCTGGCATAGCTCAGTGGATTGAGCGCGGGCTGCGAACCAAAGCGTCCCAGGTTCGATTCCCAGTCAGGGTACATGCTGGGTTGCAGGCCATGACCCCCAGCAACTGCACATTGATGTTTCTCTCTCTCTCTCTTTCTCCCTCCCTTCCCTCTCTAAAAATAAATAGATAAAAAAAAATGTCAAATTGTTTTCTATAGCAGCTACACCATTTTACATTCCCACCAACAGTGTATGAGGGTTCCAAATTTCTCCACATCTGTGTCAGCACTTGCTATTGTCTGTTTGTTTTTTAATCACAGTGATTCTAGTAGGTGTGAAGTGGTATTCCACTGTAGTTTTGATTTGCATTTTCCTCATGACTAAAGAAGTTGATCATATTTTCATGTGCTTATTGGTCATTTATATGTCTTCTTGGGAGAAATGTCAAATCCTTTGTGCATTTCCTAATCAGGTTATTTGTCTTTCTGCTATAATGAGTTCTTCATATATTGTGGACACTACACCCTTATCAGATACCTGTTTTGCAAATATTTTCTTCTGTGGGTTGTCTTTTCATTTTCTTGAGAATGTTCTTTGAAGGCCTATAGTTTTTAATTTTAAAGTCCAGTTTCCCTATTTTTAGTTTGTTTGCTTATCCATTAGATATCTAAGAACCACTGTCTAATTCAAAGTCACTAAGATTTACCCATATGTTTTCTTCCAAGAATTTCATAGTTTTAGCTCCCACATTTAGGTCTCAAATCCATTTGGAGTTCATTTTTATAAATGGTGTGAGGTAGGAGCCCAAATTCATTCTTTTGCTTGTGGATATCCAGTTATCCAAACTCCATGTAGTGAAAAGACTATTTTTTCCCATCAAATTGTCTTGGCACCTTTATAAAAAAATTAATCGACCATAAATGTGTGGGTTTATTCCTGGGCTCTCAATTCGACCCCACTGAGCTACATGGTTGCCTTTATGTCAGTACCTCACTTCTTGACTACTGTGGCTTTGTAGTACGTTTTGAAATCAAGCAATGTGAGTCCTCTAACTTTATTCTTCTTTTTCAAGAATTTTTTTGCTATTTTGGGCCTCTTGGGATTCCATATCAGTTTTAGAATCAGCTTGTCAATTTCTGCAAAGAAGTGAACTAGGATTTCTACAGGGATCGTGTTGGACCTGTAATCAGTTTGGAAACTGGTGCCATCTTAACAACAGTAAGTCTTCCAATCTGTGAACACAGAGGTCTATTTACTTAGGTCTTCTTGACTGTTTATTTCCTCTAACAGTTTTTTGGGGGATTCTTTTACGATTTTCTCTATATAAGATCGCATCATCTGCAAACAGAAATAGTTTTCCTTCTTCCTTTCAGATCTGGTTACCTCCCCCCAACCCCCAACTTTGCCTACTTGCTCTGGCTATTTCCTCCAGGGTGGGGTTGAACAGAAGCGGTGACAGCAGACAGCCTTCTCTTGCTCCTGGTCTCAGGGGGGAGCTCTCGGTCTTCCACCATTAAACATGTTAACCATGGGTTTCTGTAGATGTTCTTTATCAGGTTGGGGAAATTCCCTTCTATTTTTAATTTATTGAACATTTTTATCATGCAAGGACGCTGGATTTTGTCAAATGCTTTTCCTGCATCTATCGAGACAACTCTGTAGCTCTTGTTCCTTATTCTATTAATATGGTTTTTGTATGTTGAACCAACCTTGTATGCCTTGGATAAATTTCACTCAGTGATAGTGTATAATTCGTTTCTATATGTTGTTTGATTCAGTTTGCTAATTATGTTGAGGGTTTTTACCTCTATATTCATAAGGGATATTGATTTTTAGTTTTCTTTTCTTATAATGTCTTTAACTGCTTTTGACTACCTTGGGTTTTGTACTAGTTGCTCCTTTGCCTGGGATGCTCTTTTCCTGATCTTGGCATAGCTGGCTCCTTATTCTCTTTCAATTTTCAGCTTAAATGTCAATTCAGAGAGGCCTTCGCCATCTATCCAATCTAAAGTAACCTCCAGCCCTGGCTGGTGTGGCTCAGTGGACTGAGTGCCAGCCTGCAAACTGGAGGGTTGCCAGTTGATTCCCCATCAGGGCACATGCCTGGGTTGCAGGCTGGGTCCCTGGTTGGGGTGTGTGTGAGAGGTAACCACACATTGATGTTTCTCTCCCTTTCTTTCTCCTTCCCTTCCCCTCTCTCTAAAAATAAATAAAACCTAAAATAAAATAAAATAACCTCCAGTTAGTCAGTCTATCACATTATCCATTTAAAATATTCATCAAAGAACTTATCACAGTATATTTTTGTATAATAAAAAATATCAGCACACTATAAAAATATGCTGATATTTTTTATTTATTTGCTTATTTGTTGTCTTTCTTCCTATATCATCTTTATCTCTAGTACCTAGAATAATGCCTGATATAACAAAGGCCTTAAATATTTTGTTTAATGAATAAATAATAGCAGATATTTAATGAGTACCTACCCTGTGCCATATACTGTACTAGGTGCTTTATATACATCATATCAGCCCTAATTTTCTGATGAACAAACTAAAGATCAGAGGTTCCTTAGTGCCACTCACCTAAAGTAGTTAAAATGCTAAATTTTATGTTTTTAAATTTTACCACAAACATTATTTTTAAAAAAATGAATTTCAGGATTTTTAGGTTTAGTTTATGAGACTCATTACTAAAAATACTTTGAAAGTGAATTACATATTTACACACACATACACACACACACACAATTAAAACTGCAATCTGACTTTCAACTTACTAGGTTTCCAATGGCACGATAAAGCCTGAGTATTTGCTCGGAAGTTTGTTCCTCCCACTTTATGCAGCTGGTGCCGGCAGAAATCTTAGGGGCTACAAGACAAAGCCAACGGCAAGAATGAACACCAGGCTCCGTGTCCATGAATTGATGACTATTGATGCTGAATGACTGACACAAGGTAACTCATTATACTATTTTCTCAACTTTGAAAATGTTTGAAATGTTCCATAATATAAAGTAAAAATAAATAAGTCATACAGGTACTAGAAGAAAACATGGGTGAATTTCTTTATAACCTAGGTATAGAAATAAATCCTCTAACTATGATTCAAAATCCAAAAATGAGCGAAGGAAAGGATGACGGTTATACTACATAAAAATAAACTTTTGCTAGACAAAAAGCAATGCTGTAAGTCAAGTCAAAAAAACAAATGACAAACCAAAAGTATTATATCAGTACTTTATATCTATTTACATAGATATACAAGACAAATAGCTATAAAACAAATATAACATTTATATATAGTCATCATCTTTTGGGATACTTTATATCTATTATTAAAAAATGCCATATTTTTGGACTATAAGACACACTTTTTAACCACATTTTTTGCTTCAAAATTTTTTTCCTATTTTTCCTCCTCTAAAACCTAGGTGTGTCTTACAGTGTGGACCCCAGAGGCACCTAGGTTTTAGAGGAGGAAAATAGGGGAAAAATTTTGAAGCAAAAAATTGTGGCAAAAAGTGCATCTTATAGTCCGAAAAATACGGTAGATAGATACTTTATATCTACAAAATAATAGATTTCTTTATATCAATAATGTAAAGTACCCCTAAAAACTAAGAAGAAAAAGACCAAAAACCACACAGAAAATTTGGCAAAAGATATAATAAACCCATCCCAGAAAAAAGAAATACAAATAAATCCTTAAACATATGAAAAGATCCTTAACCTCACTCAAGGAGTAATACGATTTAAAGACACTCCAAGATGCAGATTCTTATCTATTAGAGTAGAAAGTAACATATGCATCAAGTTATTCAAAGTGGCATTATTTGAAATGGCAAAAGACTGGAAACAGCCCAGATGTCCGCCAACAGGAGGTCACAAGTGAGGCCCACACAACCATGAAAAGGAATGAGGGAAACCTCTTCTTATGGATAGGAAATGGCCTTTAGGGTGTGCTGTTCGGTAAAAAACCACAGGTGCAGAAGAGTGTGTATTTTATGCCACCTTTCGGGGGGTTGGGGAGGAAGAATCAATTCCAATACCTGCATTCTTGCTTATTTGGACCAAAGGAAACAACTGGGAGCCTAAATAAGAAACTAACAAAAACAGTTACCTCACAGAAGGAGGCGCACGGGACTGGAGGAGCTAGGGATTGAAGTGAGACTTCTCTGCATATACTTGTTCGAATAGTTTTAACTGTTGAATCATGTAAATGTTTGCTATATTCAAAAATAAGATTTTAATCATAAAGAAAAAAGCAACCCTGAAAATTAAAAAAAAAAAAACAAAATGAAAACAAATAAGCCCAATTACATACCAAACTAGAAAACAAAATCATATGGAAAAAATAATTACCTCCAGTACGTTATGAACATAGCAGTCTGACTATGTACCCTTAGTAGGATATAGTCTAAGAACAAAAAACAACAACAAAAACTGCAGAGAAATCTTAAATCCTATTTAGTAGTTTTACTATTTGTAGTAATACAGGTGTTATAACTTTTAAATTATTTTATGCAAGGAAAAATAAATAAACAGGTTAGTAGTATTAACTTAAAAAAAGATATTCAATGTAAGAAAAAATATATAAAAATCCCTGTAATTTAAAATTTGAATCAGATAAAATTTGAATCAAAAAACAATATGAACTTAAATATTTTTAAAGCTATAATGCCTCCTTTGGCCCCTGACACCTCTTCTCAGAGCACACTATTCTACTAGGGGCTTTCTTTTTTGCTTGCTTGCTTTCTTTCCTCTTTTTCTTTCTTTCATATTTTAGGATCTGAGATCTTGCACACTTTTTTTTAAAGAGTTTACTTTTATTTTTAGAGAGGGGAAGGGAGAGAGAAAGAGAGAGAGAGAAACATCAATATGTAGTTGCCTCTCATGTGGCCCCACTGGGGACCTGGCCGGCAACCCAGGCATGTACCCTGACTGGGAATCGAGCCTGTGATGCTTTGGTTCGCAGCCCGTGCTCAATCCACTGAGTTACGCCAGCCAGGACCTCTACTACGGGGTTTCTAAACACCATCCCCCACTAAAATGAACCATGTGTGACAGAGAATTTACAAGGCGATCCTGGGACATCGTGTGACAAATTCAGGAAGCACTCAAAAACTCATTGGGGGGGGGCGGTTTGGGTGGGGAGGCGTCAAAAGGATGTGGAAGCCGGTGTTAAGAGGCTCCCACTGGCCAATTTGTGGCAACCTGAGCAGCACAAAGAATCATGAATGCAATTAACTGTAAAACCCAATAAATGGAGACCCATGAGCCAAATATAGTTTTTAAAAACCTCATTTGCCACCATAACTGAAGGTAATTATGGCACGATCTCCTGAGTCTACAAATGGACAATTAGAGAAAAAAATTGAGCATCTATCCTGCTATTTTAGGATGAACTAAGATTCACCCCCAGTTAATAAGGAAAAGCTCTTCTTTACAGAACAATGCCAACTATCAAATGCAAAAGGAGTTGTCCCCAGCTGGTGTGGCTCAGTGGATTGAGTGCTGGCCTGCGAACCAAAGGGTCCCTGGTTCGATTTCCAGTCAGGGCACAGACCTGGGTTACCAGCCAGGTCCCTAATAGAGGTGCATGAGAGGCAACCACACATTGATGTTTCTCTCCCTCTCTCCCTCCCTTCTTCTCTCTAAAAATAAATAAATACAATCTTTAAAAAACATAAATGTAAAAGAAGTTGGAAAACCCCTTTTGCAGTCCCTAGTGAAATGATTAATTCAGGGAAGGAGCATCAATCCATGCTAAAATTGTTGTGTGAAAAATTTTTAGGAAACAGGATTTTTGTGTGGTGCCCAAGTATCACTCCATAGATTACCTGCTAATTCCAAGTAGAGAAACACATTTTTACACTGAAAAAAACCCACCTCAACCAAGTGATCAAACTTAAGCTTCACTAGCCTTGCTGCAACATGGTATTATGGCTTATTGATGTGACCATCCTAAGGTTTAGAAGGGACAGAGGCAAGGCTATTCTGAGTGTACCCTTTTAAATAGTTATAATTTTCAAACCATGTAAATGTTTTGCACACTAAAGAAATAAAATTAAGTCGTAAATTTTAAAAAGCAATCCTTAAAATTACAAATGAACTGAAACAAATATCTCTGAAACACAATATCATCTACAAAATACTCTTTCCAAAAACTTTAAGCCTGAATCTAATCAACAGAAAGAGTAGGGAAAAAATTTCCAATATTTCATGAGGCTGCATGTTAAGAGGGAGAGGGAGAGCCTACCAACCATTCTTTAGAAAAGGACACACAAGTGGGCATTCAACCTTTTTTTTTTAAAGTATATAACTTCTTTTTTAAAAAAATATCTTATTTATTTATTTTTTAGAGAGGGAAGGGAGGGAGATAGAGAGAGAGAGAGAAACATCAATGTGCGGTTGCTGGGGGTTATGGCCTGCAACCCAGGAATGTACCCTGGCTGGGAATCGAACCTGGGACACTTTGGTTCCCAGCCCGCGCTCAATCCACTGAGCTACCCCAGCCAGGGCTGGCATTCAACCTTTAGTCAAAATGAAGGGAAAGGCGCAAATGAAGAAGTGAGACTGTTCGGATGCCACCGACACAAACCAACCTCCGGGAGAGGCAAGAGTCTCGGCAGCCTTCACTCACCATGGGTCACCCCCTCAGTTGGCTGCTGCCTTCCACGGCTCAAACTTTCAGGCAAATTTTTCAAAACTGAAATAAGCTAAAAAAGGAGAGCAATTTACTTAAGATGAAAAGAACAAAAGCAGAAATACATCACAAGTCAGGACCACAAAGTTATGGACAGCTCTGAAAGAGCTATGTGGCAGGGAAGGCAGTAGAGTGGGTTCAGCTGCAAGCATACGTGTCTACTGGGCGGGGCTGCCATAGAGATGACGCTCTCCACTGAGTCAGGTCACTGGTTTGTTTCCAGCGAATGCTGAGCTCTGCCTGCCTGTACAAGCTTTTGGTGTCAGGACAGAGCATGCTCAGTTATGCACACCCTCACCCCGCAGTGGGGAAGGCAGTGGAGCCTCACAGTGGTAGAGTGTATTCTGGCATCATACAGTCCTGGATTAAAACCCCAGTTCCACTACCTACTAGCTGTGTCATTGTGGAAAAGTTATTTTACTTGTCTGTGGCCTTCAACATCATCATCATCTGTGAAACGGTCAACAGCAAGAGCTACCTCCAAGGCTTGCTGGGAAACTAAAAAACAAGTCTGTACAGTATCTAGGACAGTCCGGGCACACAAGCCAGCGCTCAGTAAACGACCACTATAATAACAGCATTTCCGAGGTGAGTGCCTAGAGTAGGAAGCACCATCTATACAAATAGTTGGGGGGAAAATTTTCCTTTACAAAAAATTAACTAGTTCATATGACAATGATTCAGCAAGTACTCAGACCCTACTGTATACGGTGGATTCAGTGAGCTATGCAAAGCCAAGGAGTACGTTTACAATTGGGGTCAGCAGAATTCCGGGCACATGGACGCAAATGACCAGGACACAGGCACAGCAGGGCCTGCAGGAAAGCTGTGCATCACTTGGGAAATGCAGGTGGTTCAGTCTGACAGGGATGAAAAGAATGTCTGACTGAGGAGAATAAAAGTGGGAAGAATAGTCTACAACAGCAATTTGCAATGGTGTGCTGCAAGAGTTCTTAAAACATGCAACACCTGACTATTTACTCAGGGGCACTCACCTCTTTCCCCTTAGACTGTCAAAAAAAAAAAAAAAAAGACAACAGCCGAAACAACAATAGCTTTCTGGTGTGACTGAATCACAATCATGTCTATTTTTTGTCAAATTGGCAAAAAAGTCTAACTTTGAGGGTGGCACAGAGTTTTTGTCATGAGTTTGGGGGTGCCATGAAATGGAAGAGGGGAAAAACCGCCGGGCTAAAGCCTTACCGTCAAACATGGCCCATATAAGGCCGTGTTTCATTTGAAAACCTTTATGAAGTATCCACTCGGTGTAAATTCTCAAAGACTTACACGAGATCACAAATGCCATGCTAATTTTTAGGAAGTCAGGGTTGGAAATCACTCTTAAAAAAAAAAAAACCCTTAAAATTACATAGCATCGAATTGGCTTTTCATCACAACCACGTGGGAGATGCACTAGGTGATGGACGGAAGGCCGTGGGCAGCAGGGAACCGTACCATGTCGGCACCCAGTCTGGACAGCACCGCTTCCAGTTCCTTCGCGGTGCTCTTGGGGGGCACGGGGATGGTTTCCTGTTTGAGTATCGGGCCCACATCGAATCTTCCAAAAGATAAAGAACAGCAACAACATGATTACTGACAGCTTCTTACAATCAAAACGTTTGTCGACGCGAGTGTTTACATATCACAAGGATAGTTTACCCTTGGCCACAGATTTGACTGCTCGCCATTAATTAGCAAGGGATAAACATCAATTTCAAAGAAGGGTGAGTAAAATCTGGTCTGTATTTAGATTTTAGATTTATTTTTTCCTAAAGGAAAAAGGTATGAAGTTGCATATCAGGGATTTCATTGCCATTATAAGTTATTCTACCATTAGTAATAAATAGTATGAAAAAAATCTCTATTTGTATAATGAAAGCATAGAGCAAGGAATTTCTTTTCCAAGGAAGTACAATTAGGAAATTAATAATTTTTCTTTTTTGAAAAAGATTTTATTTATTTATTTCTAGAGAGAGAGGAAGGGAGGGAGAGAAACAAAAGGGAGAGAAACATCAATGTGTGAGAGAAACATCGACTGGTTGCCTCTTACATGCCCACAGCCTGGGACTTGACCCAGAACACAGGCAGTGCCTTGACTGGGAATCAAATCAGTGACCTTTTGGTTTGTGGGACAACGCTCAACCCACTGAGCCACACCAGTCAGGGCTTCAGTTAGTTCTTTCTCTTGTATATTTCCTTTCTCAAAGGACAAGAGTTTTGCATGGATTATAATCATTGTTGATTGTAAGTAGGTATAAGTATTTGTATTCCCACAAATCCTATATTTTACAGCAAGCTCTGTAAATACTGGCCATTAGCCTTTACTAGAAATATGCTTTGTTTTGAATATTTATATTTAACTTTGTGATTGTGTTAATTCTATTTTTAACATATGAGCTTTGATAAAGTGTTTACTATGAAAAATTACAAACATTCAGAAAAACAGTGAACAGTCTAATGAATCACCACATATTCATTATCCAAACTTTGGAATGATCAAAGTTTTTGCCACTCTTGTTTCATCTAGCCCACACCATTTTTTCTGAAGTAAATTAAAGTAAACCCCAGATACTGTGTCGTTTTTGTGAACTCATGAACTATTCTTTTCAATGGGAACATTAGGTGACAGTTGGCAAAAGCTTAATACATTTTTGAGGCAATTTTAAATAACTGCTCCTTAGATTATAGCTGTAACAAAAAATTAAATGTTTAAGACAATTATTGGTATATAATATAATCTTTTTAAAAAGATTTTATTGATTTATTTTTAGATAGAGGGGAAAGGAGGGAGAAGAGAGGGAGAGAAACATCAGTGTGTGGTTGCCTCTTGTGCGCCCCTGTCCTGCAACCCAGGCATGTGCCCTGAGTGGGGATCGAACTGGTAACCTTTTGGTTCATAGGTCGGGACTAAATTCACTGAGCTATACCAGCCAAGGCGGCATACAATATATTCTTATGTCAGGTTCCAAAAATTTTTAGACCATAGTTTGACTACTGAGGCCAAGGCCAGCAGAACGAGATTCATAACAACTAACACACAGAAATCCATCTCTCATTTACATAATATATTTGATAAAAATCCAGTTGTTAATAATACAATTTATTTCAATTAATAAGTTAAAAGAGATACTTTTAAGAGATACTTTAAAGAGGGCTTTAAAGAGATATACATAAACACCAAAACACGTGTGGCTTATGTAAGAAACCAGGAAACAATGGAAAGAGGACAAAAGCAAAGGAAGAACTCTGGAGTTTACGAAATTACACCCCCGCAAACAGTCTAATGTCAACATTCACAATCACCAAAAGAATCTCAAGAAGAAAAAGTAAGCTCTACCTTTTAGGTCTGATTTGCATAATCGTTACTCCAGTGACTGTGTCCCCGTGGAGCACGGTGTGGATTATAGGGGCGGGACCACGCCACCTCGGGAGGCAGCTGGGATGGACGTTCAATATGCCACTGAGTCGGAAAAGGCAGAGATTAGTATGCAAGTGGGCTGCACCACCTAGTGCCGCTACCTAAACTAATATTCTACTCTTCATCATTAAACTTTTCCAGAAAACTAAAAAAGCTAACAGTTAAACCTGGTCTTGTACTATCAGAAAAGCTAGGTTCACTCTCTTACCACAAGACCAATGAAACTTAACTAGAAACAGAGCAGGAACTACTACTCATTGTTCCAAAGATGCCGCATGCACAGCAGCTCACGGTGTCCAGGAGTTTTTAAAATAAAAACAAAAAACATTTTCTTACTGTATGAAAACCACTCAAACCCTATTATGCAGGCACCACATGGAGGGTGTGAGTCGTATTTAGAGTTCAGTTCCATCAGCATCCTCACATCTCTTAGTTCGCATACAGAATGCCTGAAGGAGCTTCTTGTGAATCCCTGTCACCTTCGCTGTTTATCCCAACACACCCCTCACCCATTAATGAATCACTTAAATAGTTTACTGATCTGGCATTAGTTTAATGAGGGCTTCATCAGCATGAGCATGCACTTGAGAGTGTGCGTATATGAGAGAGTCTTATATTCTAAGTTCTACTGTGCAGCTCAGTCTTTCATTCAAGTATTAGCTGAGCACAATCCACGTGCTGGCAATGGGCTAAGATCCTGGGGATACAAGCAACAGTGAACCAAACAAAAAAAATTTCTGCCCTCAGGGAGCTTATGTGCAAAGAGTGGGAGATGAGTGTTAAAAAACAAAATATGTAAAAAGTTGTTCAGCTGGTGTTAAGGGCTGTGGACAAGAATGAAGCAGAGAAAGGGCCAGGACTATCGGGTAGGAGATTACAATTCTAATAGTGGTCAGAGAAGGTTTTATCAGTAAGAAGACAGTGGGCAAAAACATAAGGATGTAAATGAACAGCCAAGCAGATACATGGGAGAAAAGCTTTCCAGGCCGAGGGAACCCTAAGTACAGAGTTTCTGAGGAAAGTAATCGATGGCAAGATCGAGGCACAGCTGGGAGGCCAGTGCGCTGGAGTGGTGTGAACCTGAGGAACAGTACCAGGAGATGAGGCCAGAGCCAGCAGGAGACCAAACCAAGTGGGCAGGTCCTCGTAGGTCAATATACGGACTTCAACTTTTATTCTGAGTGAGATGGAAAACCACCAGAGAATTTCGAGCAGAGTGATTGATCTGAATTATGCTTTAAAAGGGTCACTTTGGCTGCCACACTGGTAAAGACTGAGAGGACCAAGGACGAAAGTAGAGATCAGTCAGGAAGCTACTACGGGTGAGAGTGGCAGCGGTGGAAATGACGGGAAACAGTCAGATTCTAGGCAGAGCTAACAGGGTTTCCAGATGGACGTACACATGGTATGAGATGACGAATCAAGAGGGACTCCAAGGTTCAGGGACCAAGCCACTAGAAGGCCAGAGGTGCAACCTGTGGAGATGAAGATGTGGGGGAGGAGCAGATTGGGGGGAAGTTCAGGAATATAGTTCTGGACCTCTGAATGTTGGATGTCTACTAGACATCCAAACGGGGCTGTGGAGGAGACAGTGGGTATCAGGGGCTGGGTGTTCAGGGAGAGATCTGAACTGGAGGGACCGATTGGGGAGTTGTCAGCATATACACAGAACATAAAATGAGGGTGGGTGAAAGCCCATAGATAATGATAAAGATACACTTTAATAATTCATACCACTAATAAAAATTTTTACTTTAAGAGAAAATACTAAAGGGAGCAGAATTAGAGTTCCAGTCATTGTATCTTATAGATACCAGGTCCCTATATAAAGACCAAGGTCTCTATACTGTATTTCCTTATAAATAAGACTTACTAGGGAAATTTAAGAATAAGAGCCTCACTCAAAAGTCGGCCAAATGAAGCAACCACTCCAACATCATATTCTCCAGATCCCACATCTGGCCACTCATACACTGGCAGCTGAGACTGGACCGCATACTGCTTCACCGGCAGTCCTTTTGGTGACGGGGAAGTCACGGTGACCACCTCCAATTTTTCAATTAACTCTTCTTCTTTGTTTTCCCTTAGGTTGTGAGGATTGGAAGAAAATGTGACAGTGTTAAGATGACAGCTCAAAGCTAAACTACTTCACACATTTCTACAGTATTTCTATGATCAAATTCACAAAGCCACTGAGTATTTATTTTTATTTAATTATTTTAAAGAGCTGCATGTGGCTAGTGGTTACTGTTTAGACAGCATGACTCTAGAAATGTCTTATGCAGACAGAAACATATACAGTATAGACATTTCATACAACTGGGATATTACGTGTACTACTCTGTATTTTGTTTTTGTTTTTCACCCCTCTTCACACTATATATGCTATTATGGGAGTCTTTGGAAAAATAGGTTAATCACACATTCAATGAACATTTCTGGAACAAGAAACTAAAAACAGTGGCTGTCCCTGAAGAGAGCAACTGGGAGCTGGGAGACAGAGGTGGGAGGAATTGACCCTTCACTGCATATCCTTTGAATCTTTTGAATTTTGTACCATAATTGTGTGTTACTCAAACAATAAACACTTGGCGGGAAAATGTGTTCCATGGGCATCATTCCATGCAGCACTACCTCATTCTTTTTACTTGCCGTATAATATTCTATCTCCCGGGGGCTGTTCATTTATTTATTTAGCAGGTATTGCATCTCATGTTGAGGAGTTAGGAGAAAAGGAGAATGTAGGAGGGCCCTACAAGTCCTCCAAGTGGAGTATCTGCGGCACGGTGAGGATACATGCAGTGAGAGCTGTGGGAGGCAATATGGGCAAAGCGGCCTGCGGAGAGGGCGTTATGGGGGGTGTGCAAAGACAGCACGTAGGAAGGGAGTGGTTCACGGTGTGTGTACAGACGGCCGCGTGTGGAGGGAGTAATATGATACAAGGGGATTAAGAAGGAAGTCAATATGAAGGACTGCTGTGAAGCACAGTATTTGTAAGGGAGACTTGACGAGTGAGAAGACAGAAATGAGTGGGGGTGGTGGGCGGGATGCAGCCGGAAAAAAAGAAGGGGGGAAATATGAAATGGAGGCTGGGGAAAGGAGGCAGAGCAGTATAGACGGGTGTAGCCACCTCATATCATGGGCTTTCAGGACAGGTGGGATCGCAAATAATTTTTTTCCAGTAAACAAGATTTGTTAAATTTTAGACATACTAAATATATACCTAAGAGTTCTGCTTTATAAATTTATTCACTTGAAAACGGGTTGTTTTTTGGACTACGTCCTCATTTCAGCACCAGAAAACTAGGTCTGGCTGTACACAGGGAGCAGTCGGCGAGCGACGGAATAGGACGTGGGTGTGCAAGGGAACGCCTGCGCCTGTTAAGAAGCCCAAGGGATCCGAGGGTACAAATCGGATGAATCCGAGGAAGTAGAAAGGGGAGGACTTTAAAGTCGGACTCCATTTTAGTCCCAATCAGTTCAGCTGATGATGATCTTGGGCAATCGCTTAACCTCTCTGAGCTCCGCTTTGAGGTAGGACTGGACGGAAGTGAGTGAGGCCCGCAAAGCGGCTAGCACGGGCACGGCACCGCAGCACGCCGGGCAGCGCTCAGAGAATAAAAGTACGGGGCCTGGAGTGTGTGGGCTGCGGACTGGACAGTCCTGTGCGGCTGCAGCGCACCTTCCGGGCGCCTGGATTCACCGAGATCTGAGCCCACCCAACTCCGGCGCCGCTGCTTTCCCCACTGCAGTGCGAGCAGTCGCAAAGCCTGGACACCGGGAACGGCCGCAAAGCCTGGACATCGGCGCCCTCTGCAGCCCGGCCCCCTAAACCCCGGCCCCGGTACCTGGCGGCGTGCAGCGCCCGTAGCGCCTCGCGGGCGAATTGGTCTGTGCCGAAGAAGAGCACCCGCCAGGGCGGCTTCTTCCGGACTCGGGAGCCGCGGCCGTCCTCCACGCCAGGCGACCCGCAGAGCCTGGCCAGCGCTCGCCACTGGGGGCTCGGCCTTCGACCAGCGCCGCCACCACCTGGCAAGGGTCCCCAGCAGCGCCTCACCAGCACCCTCATTGCTTCCGCCGGGGACGCCTACCCCGCGCAGGCGCGTCACGCTGACAGGGAAGGAGCTGTGCTCGAGGGCGGGACCCGGGAGGGGTGGGGAGAAAACCCCCCATGGGCGAGGTCTGCCAGCGGTTGTGGGCGGGGTCTGTCTGATTGGAGGCGTGGCCAGTCGTGTTGGAGATGGTGAAGAAATTTGCGGGTTTTAAGAGCCCACGTGATTTTTGTTGCATTTATTTGCACGATTTATCTATTCTTCCGAAAGGACTCTTTTGGGAACGAATCATGTGTTTCAGACAGTGAAATCTCATTTATTTCCGTAATGCTGTGTAATTTTCTCAACCTTGATAACTGATATTTACTGTGTATTTACTCCATGCCGCGCTTTGACTAAGCATTTTGATTAGTTCTTTAATCCTTATATCAACCATACCAGGTAGATATTATTCCAACCATTTTACTAAAGAGAATGCGAGGCCTAAGGTCCTTACAGCTAGCCCATGTAGCTCCAAAGTGTGATCCTAACCATTCACAGCAATCCTATGTACTATGAAAGTCGGTGTCCCTATTTTGTACTTGTGGAAAATGTGGCTCAGTTACTTGATCTCATAGTCACTCTGGCGAATCAAAGGCACAGAAGGATACCATATAGGAGATTCGTAGGGAAAATAGGTGGGGAGCGGGAGGTGTTTTTAGAAGACCTCTAAGGACCTCTAGTGATTAGATTCTGTATTTCCGAGGCCCATGCAGCGGCCTACTTGAATGTGGTCACACACCCTGGCTAGAGAGAGAAGTCCAGATTCCTTTCTAGTCACTCTCACCAACTTTCCCCATCACATAGGCTTAGACCCAGTGACCCTAGACCAGTCCTGTTTCCTAAATTATGAGTTTTGCACATCCCTGCTACCATGCTTTTGCTCATGCTGTTCTTCCTAGATGCCTTCCCCATCTCCCTTGCTCTCTAAGTGCTATCCGTTCTTCAATACCAAGTTCAGACACCCTCCCCTGAGCTCTTGCCTGTATGGATTTTAAGTCTTTCTGCGTGCATCCCCTTGATGTTCTGTGGGGACTTTTGCTTGTTGCACAGTTTGGAGTTACTAAGGGAAGTTGTCTAGTGTATACACAGATACTGACAAATTCACTTGTAACTTGAATAGAAAGAGACGGGCAAAGAGGAAGGGAGAGACTATTTTCAGTGATTCTTCTCATCTGATCATATATGAGAAGGAGAGTGAGGTGGGGCCCCAAACCTTTTACTCTTTCAATTGAGTTCTCTTTCAGTACCCTCTCTTAGGCTAAGTGGAATCTGATTCTAATATCTTAAAAAAATTATCTTTTCCCGTACAGCCTGAGCTATAAGTACAATCGAAATAGTCATTTGGGTTTTCACCTTAGAACTCGGCTGCTGTCTAAACTGTGGCTCTTTATATTTGTGTTAATGTCATTTCTCTCCTTTGGTTAGAGAGCCCTTATTGTCACATTCAATTGTCAGCAGCTGTCCCCTAGAGTTGCCTCGAACTGTTCACAGCGCCCTCTGCAGACCACATGGTGACTCCTCGGTTTAAGGGCCCGATGTCCACACACAGGTGCTGCCTGCCATCAACATCTAATTTTGATTTGCAGCAAACTTCTATTTTATTGAAAATAATATTATTGTAATGATTGAAGTTTTCCCAGGATGATAAAATGGAAATTATTCTGAAACTCTTGGTAGTAAGCTAGGAATGCATGGGTTTGGGGAGGAGTGTCCACTTCCAAGCCCAGACAAATCCACTGCTTGAATTGCTGTAAAGTACACAGAGAAGATGAAAACGCCTAATGGCAGGGAATTTTAGGTAATGAATTTAGACGTCCAGAAAGCACACCCAAGATAATGCTAATTTGGCTGCTGCTCCAGTTTCCACAAATTTCTCTCCCCTGATGAATGGAGAATGTGTGCACATTAAATCAATGATATTACTCCAGGTTCTGAGTCTGAGTGGCAAGACAAGAGCAGTGTCATTAACAGAGAATGACTTGCTTGGTGGTAACCACGATGATCTTTCAGCTTTAAATGTATTGAAATGGAAGTGGTGAGACAGGCAAGTAAAGACTTTTGGTAGAACTCTAGAACGTGGGATTGGCCTCCAGGACAGGGCTGGCGGTGGGTGTAAAAAAGCTGATCCAGGAGTGGGAGGGAGCAGGAAACAGCTCCTCTCCGTGTTCCTTGTCATCTGACCCTGACCATAGCTATTTGTGTATGACTTCTGAGTAATGGGGAGACCTGCCATATTAAGTGCGTGTGTGTGTGTGTGTGTGTGTGTGTGTGTGTGTGTGTGTGTGAGATCAGCTCTTTGTCTTTAAGAGTTAAAAAGGAGGAGCAGCCTGAGCCCTAGGAAAGATGGAGCAGGGGCATGAGGAGGAAAATGGTCAGAGCTCTGGTTGGTAAGGTGGCGGATGCCTGAATCCACATGAACTGAATATGGCCTGGGAAACAATGCCACATTTGACCAGGGGAAGGTCTGCCATACACATGCATTGGACCAATGTCAGGAGCAGAAACTGAACCTAGAGGCACAGCCCAGCAGAGCCTTTTTAGGGATGCAGCCTTCAGTGAGAAGTTCCATGTACTGTACTACCACCTCCTGCCTGTGGTTGCAAAATAAATCCGCGAGGGGGCGCTGCTCGCCAACATTTTTAGTCATTGACGGGGTTGGGGCTGGATAGCACAAAGCATCAGCGTTTCTGATTCTGATTAGGCCGTCTGTTTTGTTACTGTCCTTTGTGGTCTCAGTAGGAGATGTCACTCCCAAATCTGTCCAGGGTCTCTGTAAAGCAGGCCTGGGGCTGCAAGGCCACCCGCTGGGGACAGACTGGGACACTCTGGCCATGCCCCATACCCCACAGATGATGGAGAAATACTAATGAGGCTGTTCCATGCAACAGAGTCTTCCCCAGCAGGACACTGGGAGCGCTAGAGAGGCAGGGTGGGCCAGCAGGACTGGGTGTCTGTCCTTGAGGAGAGAGACCGGAGAGGTCACATGACATCTGCAGGAAGCAAGATGTGGGACTACAAGACTGAGAAGCAGTTTAGGGATAAGGAGCTATCCCTTTGCTGCTGACAGTCAACCTAATAAACCAAGGGAAATTTAAATATTGCTCACCACCAAAGGAAAGATAAATATTGTCCACAATGAATCTAGAACATAAATACTTCTTTCTCACGGACTATGCACCTGTTAAACAAAAAACCCTCATGACCAAATGCTTTTTAAAAAGAAAAGATTTATTGAACCAAATGCTAGCTAGAAAAGGACCAGGTGCTGGGGCATGAAGTCAAAAGCACCAGTGGCAGGGCTAGACAGAGAAAGCAACATGTCCTCTGTCCTGGGGTTGACATCCTCTCTATAATCAGGTAGGGGGAGAAAGACGTAAATTGTTTTTTGAAAGAATTCACACTGGCAATGGATAAAGGGGGTGGGACAAGGTGAGGTGGTGCTAGTTTTGCAAGATGTGCAGAATCCAAGGAAAAAGTGTTTGTTCTTTAGGATTGGTTATGGGCAGCAGTCTGGAACATTCATGTGCAAGCAAGAAGTAGAGGCTCCTGGGGGCCAGTGGCTACTGGCTATTCTCTTTAAATAACTGTAGAAATAGCCACCTGAAAGTTAATTCAAAGTTGAAACATTCAGTAATATAAGCAGTCTTTTGTTGGTTTTGCCCTGCAGTTGTTAACCGGTGAACCTCTGGTCTCTCCCTTCCACCCTCCGGCCTGCTGTGATATAACTCAGGACGTCTCAGAAATGTCTCCTTGTCACTCCTGTCCTGGAACCTGCTCGCTTCACCTTTCCAAGAGCCCCGTCAGCTCCAGGATGATGGACGGGTCTGTCCCCTCCATCCAGCCCTGCTTCTGGTGGTTTAGACGGTATATCCCAGGACCTGGTCCTTTTTCTGGCTAGCATATGGCCCAATAGACCCTTCTTTCAGAAAATATTTTGGCCATGAAGGCTTTTATTTAACAAAGGAATAATACCAATATGGGTACAAACACTTCTGGCAACAGTGGTTGGGTATGTTTGGTATGCCTACTTGGCTCTGTTTGTAAAAAAAAAAAAATGTAAAAAGTGATCAACTAGGCAAGAAATTAAATAATATAAAGAGATTTCTTTTTTTAAATGAAAACAGATCTGCAAAAATTATCTGAGCCAAAAGGAGGGGCTTTAAAAGAAAAATTGTCCCAATACCATATGCTCTCATATGTGGAATCAAAAAACAAACAAACAAACAAACAAACAAAATAAATGATCAAACAAAACAGAAATAGATTCATAGACACAGAGAACAAATTGATGGTTGCCAGATGAGAAGGGGTTTAGGGGCCCGGGTGAAAAAGGTAAAGGGATTAAGAAGTACAAATTGGCAATTACAAAGCAATCACGGGAGGTGAAGTACAGTTTCGGGAATATAGTCAATAACACCACAGTAACCGCGTGTGGTGCCGGGCGGGTACCAGATTTATCAGGCGCTCCTTTCGGAAGTTACATAAATGCCTAACCGCTATGCTGTCACCACTATGCTGTACACCTGAAACTAATATAATATTGATTGTCAAATGTAGTTGAAAAATTTTTTAAAAAGAAAGAAAAATTGTCCCAAATCTGATGCAGCACAGAACTTTTTTCCTTCTTAAATGATTGAATTAACAACTTCCTTCTGGAAAGAAATTATGATTCCTATAAAAATGCTTAGAAAATGTTCTGATAAACTTTAAGAGGATTAAGACTTGTTCTGGAAACTAATCGCCCACTCATCCAACTGACATCAGCCAAGAGTCTCGGTGACCTTTTAACTGAACTTTCTTTTCTTTTTAAAAAAATCTAGACTAAATCACTATTATCTAACCATTCACCAAAAGTGAATCTCTAAGGTGGGACTACCAGAGGCCTTTGCCCTCACAGCAAGATTGTAATATAACTCTGACTAGTGAAATAATCCTAACTGCACTGTCTGAAGTGCTTTCTTTAGTACCAGGGCCGACTGTATGCCCCCTCTGCTTCCCTAAAGAATGTTGACTTGCTTGTGGGAGCTGGGAGCAACCACACTCAGCAGAGTAACGCCCCAGCCTGACTTACCACACTCTGACCTTCCTCCAACACACTGAGTGAGTTCTCTTCCAGGGGAGGCTATTCAGAGTGTGGTTTATGGGAATGATTAAGCTTCCAGTATCTCCTATAATTAAAGCAAAAGGCCGAGCACTTTGATTTTATTCTGCCGTTGGACTTTGATTTATTCAGGGACTGAAGAAGATATTTAGTTATAGTGTAACCAGAAACAAGGGGTCAAAGACATACAAAGTATTAAGCTTTCTAAAGCGGGGCCAATGACACGGGAAGCCTCACAGGACACACAGGTGAGATGAAAGGGGTGGAGGCGGTGGCTGCAGAACGACCTTCCACGGAGGAAGTACATGCTATGTGTCATGTATCACATCAGTTTCCGCCCAAACTTCCAATACTTTGCAACTGTTCCTGAAATGCTTCTAGCAAAACATGTCTGTCGAAAGCGCTTTTCACCCTGGCTGGTGTGGCTCAGTGGATTGAGCACTGGCCTGTGAACCTAAAGGTCTCTGGTTCAATTCCTGGTCAAGGCACATGCCTGGGTTGCGGGCCAGGTCTGCTGCTGAGGTTGGGCTAGAGGTAACCGATTGATGTATCTCTCCCACACTGATGTTTCTGTCCCTCTCTTTCTCCCTGCCTTCACCTTCCTTGTCTCTAACAAACAAACAAACAAACAAACAAATAAATAAGAAAGAGCGTTTGTTCACTCAGATCATCTCACTTCAGTGTGTAGATGGACACCCACCCGTCCTCTCAGCCACCCCATTGCAGACAGAGACATCAGGCCGGGGCTCAAGCACTAATAATTTTGGACTTAATTGCCCTACATTTTCAAAAATGCCCTTGTTAATCCCATTCTATGCTTAATATAAAAACTGGCCCCTCAGAGTTTAATATAAAAATTGGCCCTCTGGGCTTAATGCAAAAATTGGCCCCTAGAAGAAATATGCTGTCCCATTGGTACTATGATGCAACCCCTCCCCTGTTCTTGAACGTTTAGGGGTTTTTACCATCTTAAAGTTGCAGTGGGTGTCCTCGTGCATATGTCTCTGCTCCTGTGTGTTACCTTTCCTTACATCATCGCTTTTAGATTTAATTTTATTTTCCATGAAGTTTTCTCTGCCAAGAAGAGGATGTGCTACCAGAAACTTGACAGAATTATTGTTCAAATTAAACCATTAAATTGGTTTCTGAGTGTAAGTGATGCTTATGAAAGTGAAGAAAAGAACGAACAGCTAGCCAAGGGCGTGGCCACCCTGCTGCTGGTGCCAGCTGACGGTGGATGCCCCCCTCTCCCCCCCACCCCCACCCCCGGAGCAGGGTGGGCTGACTTGGAAAGACAGAGCAGTCTCTGCCACCGTGAAGCCTTTGGGGCTACCAGCCCTCGTCCATAGTTCTCACTGTTGTCTGGATTCACTCCCTGGGAGGTTGTTTGTCCATTATGTCCTATGGTCCATTTTGTGGTCCTTTTTTGCTTTTTCTTTTTTTCTTCTTGGAACTTGGGCATAATGGCTGGAGCTGCATCAGCCACCTTGAGGCCCTGAGGGAAACTCAGAAATCTCAGCCCTGATTTCCTTGCGCTTTAGATATCAGTAACTGGTTACTTCAGAAATTCTTGTATGAGAACATATATATATACTCTTATGTGTTTAAACCAATCACACTGGGTCTCTGTGACCCAGAGACAAACACAACTTTTAACTGATGTGAAAGGGTTCCCTGGCAAGCTGACATGTAAGCCGAGACTGGAAGAACTATGAAGATATTAAGACGGCAGATATGAGACTAGCACAGAAAAGCCAAAAGCCCTTCCCACGGCACTGCACTGCACTGCACTGCTAATAGCCCACCATCTTCCAGGCAGCGGGACAAGGGACTGGAGACAGAAGGAAAGGAGATTCTAAGGCAGAATTGGCTTGTCCAGAAGTTGTATTTGAAACTAGGAGGGAGGGAGAGCTTGGTGGGTGTGTACACTTCCTCATGGCACTTGTCGCACTGCAGTCATAATTACAGGACCCCTGGTGTGACCGCCTGTCTGTCTCCCCACTAGACTGAAATCTTCATGAGGTCAGGGGCAGTGTCTGTGATTGGCCATCACTAGCATAATGCCTGGCACAGAGCAGGCACAGAAGAGTAGTGATTAGATCAGCTGTAGCAGGGGGAACTAGGGTAAGGGGAGGAATAAAAAAGAAACAGGCAGAGGAGTGGAAGACCTGGGGTGGCTCAGGCCCCCCACGATTCTCCTCCGAGGCAGACAGGGAGACTTCTGGTCAAGGGTCACTTCAGGGACCCTCCCTGGGATGGCTGTCCAGCTCCCAGCCTTTCTGTCCTGGCTACCAGCTGGGCATGAGGTTTGAGCCAGTCATCCACGGCACCTTGGCCTTGGCTAAAACAATTAATTCAAAACATGGGGACGTGACCCAGGTCAGGACAAGGAGAGCCCTTTTTCAGAAATTGCCAAACTGGAGTTGAGAGAAGGGACCCCTTCTCCTCCAGCTGTCAGGGTGTGAGTCAGAACTTCCTGCAGCCTTGTCCAGCTTCCTGGAGGTGGCTAGTCTCTGGGGACGGGCCTGATATCCAGAGAGAAGGAGGGAGAGAGCTAAGGACCTTCAGGCTCCTGGTTCCAGCTCTCCCTAAGGTCAGCTCCACCCGGTTCTTCCTAGTCATACAAGCCAATAGTCACTTTTTGAATTCCTTTGGTGCTTAACAGAGTGGGTGTTGAGTTTCTCTTGAAATCTATCAGCAGCTTTTCTCTCCAAAATGTACCCTGAATCTGATCACTTCTCACTATCTCCACAGCTACACTCTGGTCCAAACCACTGCTACCTCTTTCTCACCTGGCTGAACGCAACAGCCTCCCAATAGGTCTCCCCATACCTCTCCACCCAACAGACCAGTGGCCTTAGATAAATGTCAGTCAGATCATGTCACTTCCCCGCCTAAACCCTCCAGGGGTTTCTCACTGCGTCCCAGCTCCTCGTCCTGTTTCTCGAGGCCCTGTGAGATCTGCTTCTGTCTACCCTCCAACTTCATTCTCTGCCCCTGCCCCTCCTCACCCGCTTCAGCCACCATGCCCTTCAGGGCCCTCCCTTTTGTTTCTCAGACTTCTCAAGTGCATTTCTTTTTTTTTTTTTTTTTTAAAGATTTTATTTATTTATTTTCAGAGAGGGAAGGGAGGGAGAGAGAGAGAGAGAGAGAGAGAGAGAGAGAGAGAGAGAGAGAAACATCAATGTGTGGTTGCTGGGGGTTATGGCCTGCAACCCAGGAATGTACCCTGGCTGGGAATCGAACCTGGGACACTTTGGTTCCCAGTCCGCGCTCAATCCACTGAGCTACACCAGCCAGGCCAAGTGCATTTCTTCAGCGCCTCTGCACCCGCCGTCCCAGGTCTTTGGGTGGCTAATTCCTGGTTAACTCCGGTTTGCAGTATGGGAATATGGCGATCAGAGCTCTCTGGCCCCATCTTTTTCTGTATCATTTTGTTGTTTAAATTATTCGCAGAAACTGACACCAGCTGAAATGATCTTATATATGTTTTTGGTAACTTTTCTGTTGTCCGTCTATCCCCCCTAGAGTGCGAACTCCAGGGGAGCAGGGTCCGTGCCTGTCTTGTTTACTGGGTCTTCTATGTAGCAGGTACTCAGACGATATTTATTGAATGAGTGAGTGCATGAATGAGTTACAGAACAGAGTTGCTGGAGTTCCCTGCAGGCCCCCAGCCTCCCCGTTGGGCCTCCTTCCCTCTGCACCATGCTCTTGTCCACACTGTCAACCTACGCTGAGCTCCTAGCGCACCTTGCACCTGCCACTTGAACTCACTCAACTTCTGTGACCTCATATGTGAAGTGGGAGCCCTGCTCCTTGCCCAGCCAACTGCAGGGGTTGTTGGAGATTCAGGGAGCCAGTGGGTGGAAACGCCCGGAGCCCACTGATGGTTGGAATTGCACAGGCCTGGCCTGGTGGGGGAGCATCTTACTCCTGCTTCCCTACCACGCACTCCCTACTCCATGCTGTTGGACCTGGTCTGCTTCCTCCTTTCTGTATCACTCACACAGCCTCACATGCCTGGCCTTCCCCACCCTTGGCCCTCCAAAGGTCTTTTATAGCTTCTTGTGAGGAATTCATATAAGTCCATGACGGTCACTGTGAGAAAGAGCAGGCTGTAAAAGGCCAGGCTTGGCTCCCTGCTCTGTGGTTAAATATTGATAACACCAGCAGACAGAGGCCTGCAGAGGGCACGTCACGTAGCCCCCCAGCATGCTGGGACCCCCAGACCCAGGGTCCTCTCAAGCCCATTCCCCTGTGCTGGCAAGAGGGTCTGGATGTTTTCTCTTTACTTGGGGCCAACATGTGAGGAAAAAAAGCATTGGGCTCCTGGTTCTTTTGAGTTATTGAAGTTGGGTGGAGCCTGTTGCCATCTGAGGCTACTCATTCAAGAAGTCAGTGACCCCAGAAGAGCAGAGAAGACTCCAGGCCTGGGCGTGTGCTCCAAGCAGATCTCCCAGATGGGCTGGGCTGCTACAGGCGGGCGCTGCAGCCCCAGCCCCAGGTGACAGCCCTGCAGAGAGCTCGAGTGCAAAGACCGTCCAGTGCTCTGTGAGAGGAGGAGGAAGGAGACACAGAAATCAGTGCTGCTCCCAACAGCAGACCAAGGCAGGCCCCGGGGTGAGTGTCTCAGCTTCCAGTGGGAATGGGTGGCCCATGGGCTTTGGTAGGGATCACAGCCCAATGGCAGATGGTTGGCTCTGTTTAAAGTGCAGGAATCCCCCAGAGGGGCCTAAGGAGACAGGACTACTAAAAGCAATATGATATCCTGGATGGAATCCTGGACCAGGAAAAAGACATTAACGGGAAAGTAAAATCCAAATAAATCATGAGATTTAATTATGTTTTTAAAAGCAGGGATAGTAATATGATGCTCAGTCCAGAAGGAGACTTGTGAAGCGTCCTCCGGGAAGCGTGTCTTTGTTCCTGTGGCGTCTAACATGGTCTGGGGGGTGGACTCTTGCTTCCAGACCTGCATCAGTCTTGTTGTCACTTCAGTTTTCTGTTTGTTGGTATATGTTTATTGTAACTATGTTACCGTATTTAAGACACACATTCCACTGCAGAGCAGCCCGCATGCAAGTGTGTGTGCTTACTGGATTCTGCAGTCTTACTGTGAGCCTCGAGGTCGGGCAGAGCCAGTCCCTCCACCTTTGTTCTTCCTTAGTGTCGTGTTGACTCTTCTGGGTCTTCAGCCTCGCCATATAAACTGTAGAATCATTTTGTTGATATCCATAAAATAACTTGCTGGGATTTTGATTTGGATTGTATCGAATCCTTAGGTCAGGTTGGGAAGAATTGACATCTTGATTAGTGTTATTAATTAAACATCCAAAATTAGAATTGTGCCCTGACCTGGTAGCTCAGTTGATTGGAGCGTCACCTGTACACCAAAGGGTTGTGGGTATGATCCCCGGTCAGGGCACATACCTAGGTTGTGGGTTCGATCCCCAGTCAGGGCATGTATGGGAGGCAACCGATCAGTGTTTCTCTCTCACATACGTAGATGTTTCTCTCTTTTTTTCTCTCTCTCTTCCTCTCTCTCTCTCTCCCCCTTCCTCTCTCTAAAATCAATAGATATCCTCAGGGGAGGATGTTTAAAAGATTGGAATTGTTGTCTCAAAGGTATAAATACAATATATGCATACATTTAAAAATGCATGCAAATACAGAAAAATATACTTAAAATATATACAAAAACACATACATTTAAAGTACATAATCCCATGCATTGTTTTCATGAAGGCAGTGTGTACTCATGAGAAGTGCATGCAGCACAGAAGTATTCCAAGTGTTCCCATGCGTCTGGGCCCCGTCCCACCTCCCCAGAGGGAGTGGGTGTTTGCTTCCTGGACCTTCGCACTCTTTCCTCTGTGGGCATGGGGAGGTCTGCGTATACCACAGGCGCCTGCGGACAGCGTTACTGATCAGTCCAGGTGCTCCTGCACCCGAGAATGGACGGAAAGTCACAACCTTCTTAGCAAGTGCTCTGAACAGACACTTGGAGATGGAAACAAGATCACATTATTTAGCCATCCCTGTAACTTCGCATTTTCATTATCCAGTGTATATACACATATCCCTCAAAAGGGTAAGTAGGTAGTTATGCCTCTGAGTCCCTGGAAGTCCAAACAAGGTCTTCCTCCCGGAATTCCGTCACCACCTGGACACGTGAGTGACCGGTCACATGCGAAAAGCTTAGCTCAGTATTATATCTCTGTCAAAACATCTTCCCTTGAAATCTGTAGATGTCTCTTCAGTTTTCTCAGAGCATTTCGAGTTGAAGAAAACTCCGATGTCAAGCTAGCCCTTTTGTCAGTGCTGTTTTCCTGTTTGGTTGTTTACCATCAGTTGTTTTGAATGTCCTGGTGGGGCCTCCGAAGGCGACTTCGGAAGGCAGTGTTGGCGTGGGCGGGCTTGAGACGGTCTGGGGCCTCTTTCGTTGTTGTCATTGTCGTTGCCCCATCTTGTGTTTTTGTGATTGGTCTCTTCAAAACCCTTCTCCTGTTTTTTCAGTTACTTTTATCACCATTCTTGTTCCTTTTCTCTTAAGTGTGTTTTTGTAAAGTATGTGTTGTTGTTTTGTATGCGTGTATTTTGCATTTTCATAAATGGCACATCCCCTGTGATACCTAGGGATAATATTTAGGGACATACAAGATCTGTCCAGAAGGTACCCAGCCATGTAATATGAAAAAGAGACATTTATTGAAGAATATACAAGGAACATTGTACACACGACAATGATGTTGCAGTCCCCTTCAAAGTGGGCACCCTGGGACCTCACAGTTCTTCCAATTGCCATCAGCTGCCCCACTGTATTTTCCTGAATCTCATCAACAGTCTGAAATCTCTTTCCTTTCAAAAGTGATTTTGGTTTTGGGAAAAAACAGAAATCGCAGGGCAGCAAATGTTGGCTGTAGCAGGGCTGAGTCACCTGGTTGATTTGATGTTTCACCAAAAGCTGTGCACGAGACATGATGCATGAGTGGGCACATTGTCATGATGAAGCTGCTAGTTACCAGTTGCCCACAGCTGCGGCCTCCTGAATCATCCAAATAGTTTCCGTGGAGGAATGTTCAAGCTTAACACAAAATGTGATGCAGATTCCTTGCTCTATTCGCTCAGTCATTTTGAATGCAATAGCCACACAAAACACATGCTCACTCATGGCATCTACCTGCCCCCCACTGACTAGTACAGTGAAGTCATCATTGTTCACACATGTGCATTCCAGTCTACTCTCCTTGGCTTCCAGATTACATCGATGTCATGCAAACCATTCGTGTTATATTAACAATGGCTGGACTTTTTCTGGACAGACCATTTATATATATATAACATATATGCATTATATATATTATATGTATGCATTAAAAATGTAATTACATACACACTCAGGAGCAGAGTGACTGTGAACACTTACTGTGACTAATTTACTCACTAGATGTCAGCTCCAGCCCACACCCGGTCCGTGCACGAGGCAGTGGCCCAGGGCCTCACTCACACACAGCATTATCTGCTTTTCAGCCTATGATGATCTGATAGATATCGAGTGGTGTTTCATTTTTAAGTTGCATTTTTCCAAGTACCAAAGAGTTTGAGCATTTCTTTATATGCTCACTAGCCTTTTGGGCTTCCTATTTTGTAAACTGCAGGTTTTAGATGTTTACCCATTTATAAGAGATCCTGTGTTTTTCTTATTAATTTCCAAGGATTCTTTGTGTATCCTAGATATCAGTCTCTTCCTAGTTTGAAGCTTGGCAAGTATCTTGTCCCAGTCAGAAAGGTGTTAGTTACTTCACAGATGGTATTCTTTATTGAGCACATAATCTTATTTATGATATAATCAATTCATCAGTTTTTTGTTGTTGTTGTTTTTGAATGATCTGAGCTATTATGACTTTGTTCTAAAAATTTTACCCCACTTCTCTCATGGCCAGGTGGCTCAGTTGGTTGAAGCATTGTCCCGTGCACCAAAAGGTTGTGGGTTCAGGGTACACACCTAGGTTGTGGGTTCAATCCCTAGTCAAGGCACATACGGGTGGCAATCAATCAGTGTTTCTCACATGATCTTTCTCTTTCTCTTTTTCTCTCTCCACCCCCCACCCATCTAAAAAACCCCAACCATATCCTCAGGCAAAGATTAAAAAAACTTTTACCCCACTTCTATTAACTTTATATTTTTTCCTCTTACATTTAGGCCTTTAATTGTAGAGTCTGTTTTGTATGTAGTGTGCTAGGCATATATCCAGCCTTTTCTCCACACAGTAAGCCAGTTTTCCCGACACCTTCCACTAAACAGCCCCTCCTCTCCATCCTCCCCCCCGCCCCCCGCCCTCCAGTAGAGCTACCTTTACTGATTTCAAGTTCCCATGTGGACGTAGGTCTCTATGGAATTTCGGTGCTGGTCCCTTGAATAGTGACACGGCCTCATGTCAACATCCAAAATTGGAATTGTTTATTATTTTTTATTAATAGGATTCAACACCTGACGGGGGTTTAGTAAACACAGATTGCTTAACCTGCTTTGTTCTGTGGGGATGAAAACTGGCCGAAATTAATGACGGGATTTAACCAGGAAGCATGGGGATTCAGGTTCTTCCACTGCAAACGATGAAAGCAGTTCTGACAACACGTGTGAAGAAGAGCAGTGACTGGTGGCTGACCCAAGAGCAGCTGAGGGATGGCGGCCGGGGAGAGGGAGCGCTTGGCTCTCAGCAGCGCAGCCAACCCCTACCCTCTGCTAGCACTCTCTCATTCTCAGCTCTGGGTCGCAGACATGCTAATCTCCAGATGAGAGACTGTGATAGGCCCAACCTTTGTCCTGTGGGTCCTGTGATTGGCTACCGCATAAAAATCAATGGCAAGGGATGGGACAATTTGCTAAGAAATCAGGGTGAAAGGGAGCTGTGGGCTATAGAAGCGGGATGCTGAGCAGGTGAAAAAGGGGGATGTCCCCTGCGAGGGCCCCACAGCCCATCGGTGGCTTAGTCCTCCTCATTCCCAGGTCAGTGCCCTTCCCCACATGTGATGGGTTTTGATAAAGATTTGAGTGACTCCCAAGTCTGTGGTCTCAGCCCCCAGGCTCCACCTGCTCTGGAGTCTGGCCGTTATGGTCCTGTAGGTTTGGGCCAGAAGAGAGTTGGGTTTGGGCAGAGAGCGGAGCTCAACCCCCAGTCACACTCTCTGCTTTGTTTCCAGGGGTCTGCCAGGCTCTGCTCGGGGGCCAGCACCCAGGAGGCCAAGAGGACAGCTGAGGGGACGAAGGGGCCTAAGGACTTCGGTGTCAGATATGTACCCCAACCAGGATCAGGGCATGTACCCTGCAGAGGGGGACACCCAAGCCCCAGTTGGTACTGCGGTGCCTCAGAAGCTGCTGGAAGAAATGCTTTGGTTTTTTCGGGTAGAAGACGGTAAGTGGCAGGGGTCTGGTGTGTGGGGTGTGTGCTTTCAACACAAAACACAAACAGCAGACGCTGGCCGAAGCCCTCGACAGGGTCCCCTGCCCCACACAGGCTGCACATTCCCTTCAGAGCCGGGGTGGAGGCTGAGGGGCTCAGTGCCCAGAGGGTGTGTCTGGCCCTCAGCCTCTTTCTCTCAGGGCTTGGTTATGCACTCACTCATCACCCATCCAATCAGGCACGAATATGCAAGTTCCCTCTGTGAGCCAGGCACTGTTCTCCGCACCGGGGTTACAGTAGTGAATGAAATACAAAACCTCTGCCTTCATGAAGCATACGTTTTAGTGAGAGAGAATGAACAGGATAAACAACGAAAATGCAGAGTGTGTTGGTGATGTGTTGGGCAGTGGCATTTTGTAAAACTCTGGATGGTTCCAGGGCTAAGAGAAAAAAGGAGAAAAATTCAGCAGAGGAAGGGGTCAGGAGGTATGCAGCGAGGGTGGTAGAGTGGCCAGGAAGCCTCACTGAGACAGTGACAGTGGTGCAAAGGCCCGCAGCAGGTAAAGGGTTTGGCCGCGCAGGTTATGTGGGGAAGGACACTCCCGGCAGAGGGAACAGCAGATGCAAACGCTGAGGCTGGATCCTGCCTCACTGTAGCACAGTATATGCAAACCCTAATGACACAAATCCAGATTGGCCACTTTCTGTACTACCTGTGGGCAGTTTTTGAATCCATTTTAACTGCCACCCCTTCCTTCCTCTTTCCCTCCTTCCCTTGCACTGCCCAGGGCTGCCGGTCCCTGACAAAATCCGGAAGATTGTGATGTTTAGCTTGACCCACCCCGCTGACTGTCATCCAGCTTCAGTGCCGTCTCCGTTAGACTGGAGCTGCTGCAAGACAGAGACTGGCTCCCCCCACCCACACCTGCACACACGCTGGAGTTCCCATGGGGCAGGGGCTCATCTTCACCTTAACTAGTCTCTACAACGCTTGGTCCACAGCAGGGGACAGCTGATGCTGTGAGCCGTGTCCGGGCCCAAGTCCCAACTGTGGGTGGGCCTGAGGGGCACCAGGCCTCTCCTCATTCCCTGTCTTGTGTGTCTCTCCCCAGCCTCTCCTTGGAATATTTCCATGTTGGTCCTGGTGGGTGTGGTGGTCGTGATAAGCATCGTCCTCCTGGGAAGGAACATCAAGGCCAGGAGGTGAGGAGCTGGCCTGGGGGTGGCCTCTGGAAGGTGGGGACCCTATAGGTCTTGGCTATCCACCCTTTGGGGCAGAAAAACGCAGCCTTCAGGGTCCTTAGAGAACCTAGAATTGTGGGAAAACTAGCAACTGTGCTCAGTTACCACCCGCCAGTAGCCAGGGGTGGGGAGCAGTATGTCCCAGAGGTCAGGACCTCCACCCCTGGAGTCACATAGGCCTGGGCTCAAGGCCCAGCTCGGTCACTCTCTAGCGGGGCTATACACTCAGTGCCTCTGCACCAGTTTCTCCTACAAGTGGTGGTAACAACCAATTCCCTGTGGTTATCACCTTGTGCACAGTGGGGGCCATGGCAGAGTTAGGGATGCTGTTACAGCGAGAAGCCTTGCCTGCTTCAAGGCCAAAGGCAGGCCTCAGATACAGACCTGAGATCAGCCGAGGCTCCCTGGGCAATGCTAACATTTCTATGATTACAGTACTCCTTAACTCTGGGTGCACAACATCTCCGAGGAGAAATACTAAAAACACAGAATGCTGTGCCTCACCTCGGAGATTCTGACGCAAAGGGTGAGACCTGGGCAGGGCATTTGGGTAAACTCTCTGGGTGGTCCCAGGGCTAATGTTTGAGAGATCCTTGAGGGCAGGGACCACATTTAACTCCACTTTGTTTCCCCAAGCAACTGGTGCAGTGTCTAGTCCCAGAAATCACTCAGTAGATGCTTAATTGACTCATCCCATTCATTCATTCATCCTCTCAACAATTGCTCTATACTCATCAGCCGCCACCATCAACAACTTTGAAACAATAATAAGAATCTCTCCCTCAAATATGTATCATGCTTGTAATTTTTAGAACATCTTCACATTCTCATTTTGATCCTCAAGACAGCTCTGTAAGGTGGGACAGGCGTGAGCTATTCACTCCCTCCCCTTATACAGAATAAGGTCGTTAAGGATCCATGGAGGGGCTGGCCTAACCCCCGTGCCCTTCCTTCTGTGCCACAGTTTGACATCTGTGACTCTCCCTCACAGTCCTGCTATGAAGTCAAAAAGAAATAACCCATGTAGTTCACACTGAGAACCAGTCGTCAGGAACTGCTTCGGCCCCGGTCACCATTCCACAGACGTGAGCTGAGCACTTGCTCTGTGCCAAGCTCCATGCTGAGCAGGGGCCACAGCAGTGGCCCCGATAGATTCAGCCTTGGCCTCATGGAATTTAAAGTTTGGTGAGGAGATGACTGCAGTTCAAGGTGACAAATGGTGACTGGGACATACACAGTACAGTGGGAGCACAGAGCTGGGACCTGGGGCCTTCGGGACAAACAGAGGAGGGTGGGCTGCAGATGCCCTCCAGACCAAGGGACAGCAGGCACAGGGAGCTCCAAGTGGGAGGGAGGGCCTGTGTGGCAGTGGCCTGGGGGTGAGGAGGGCAGACGAAAGGGGGCAGGACCCAGAGTGGGCACATTCTGAGGGCTATCCTAAGGAGTTCAGGTTCCAGCTCACGAGAAGGGCTTTGTGCAGGGACACGAAAGGTTTATGTTTTAGCAAGATCCTTCTGCATGCAGGTTGTAGACGGGCCCAGCGGGGTGTACCCCTAAGATGACCTTGCCTCTCTCACCCTGTGTGGAAACATCCCCTTCAGCAAGGTCAACTCAGAGACAAGGCGTCTGTCCAGTGGAGCAGCAGACATGGAGCTGCTCCCGCTCCGGCCCAGGCAGATTCTCTGGACGGTCAGCTGTAGCCACAGTGGGCTGCCTCCACCATGGCCAGGAAGTGTACCTTCAGTAAAACCACCTCAAAAGGAGAACATTTGGGGGAGTTACTGGAAGGAAGTCTGGATCTTGAATGCCAGATCAAGGAGGTAGGCAGCGGGGAGCCACTGAAGGTGCTTGAGCTGGGGAGTGATGTGTGCACACTGGGGCTTTAGAGCCATGACTGGTGTGTTTAGGCTGGTTTGGAGAAGCAGGCACCGAGGTAGAAAGATTAGTTAGGAATTTCCTGCATTGTGTCTGGGGATGCAGGATGGGGTGACAAGGACCTGGACTAAGTACGATGACAGTGCTGGGAGAGGAGAAAGTGTGATTTGGTGAAGACACAGGACTCGGGGTCAGGAGACTTAAATGTACGTCTCAGGTGTGTGCTTCTCTGAGCCACGTTCCTTGGTAAGGAGGGGCAATGACACTGATAGTTGAACTCGCAGGTGGCAGTGAGGACTTGGTGAGAGAGGCACAGGTGAGTATAGCTGTTTCTCTGCTGAAAGAACTTCAAACCATCTCAGCTTTCACCCCCAAGAGTTCCCAGAACCGCCTGTTGGATTTCCCCTCAAACTCTGACGTGCCTGGGAAACCGAGGCCTGCCCCAACCACTCAGGACCCCCAGCTCTGGGGACTCAACATTCAACAGCGTTTCCTTTCCTCCCAGAAAGCAAAAGAAGCTGCCACCGGCAAAACAAACTCCAGAGGCCTTGGCTGAGACCAGAACCAAAGATGACAACAGTGTGAACATCGTAAGAGAGACTCTGCTCTCAGAAAAGCCGGATGTGGCCCGGGAGGAAATTGAGTTAAGAGATTAAGAGAGAGAGAGAGAGGAAGAGAGAAGGGAGAGAGAGGGGTGTACCTCATCTTTGTTCCAGACCCACAAGAACCCAAGAGTGAGTGGGAGTGCAGAGCAGTGCCCCCATGTTGTCTGCAGATAAAGTGAAGGAACAGCCATCAAACTAAGATTCTATTATGAAAAAAACCCACACAAACCCTGTTTATTAAAATGCTTCTGGATATGGGCCATTGGAACTGCATTTTGTTCAATGGTGGTGGTCCCCACACTAACTAGCGGTGGGGAGCGAAAGTGTAAAACCCACAGCCAGGCTGTGGGTTGGGAAGCCTGCCAGGACTCGTCGTGCGGCCCTGAGGACCTCACAGCCTCCCTCGGACCTCAGCTCCTCCACCTCTGTAAAACAGGGCTGACGGCCAGGTTCCAGTTGTTGCTCTCAATCCAAGCTCCTGGAAGGGGCAGGGTTCTGAGCTCAGAATCCCTTCCGGCCCCTTCCTCCCACCAGAGCCCTCCCCTTGATCTGTTTATCTGCTGAGGGTCTGCCAGGGGTCCCATGGTGCACAGAGTAAGAAAGCTACGAGACACTTATCTTGCTAACCACGGGATCCCAGGGGAGGGTCCCGATCTTGTCTGAGCCATAGTGCTGTAGTATAAGCCCAGGGGGCAACCCCAAATAATTGATGCAAAAATTTGCTTTAGGAACCACAAATGCTTCAGGTTTTATCTTATAAGAGAACACTCTGAACACGCAGACCCACTGCCGAGGGTACTGGGTCCTGCCGAGCCAGGCTGCAAACCGGCCCACTGTTTCTGCCCATGGACCCAGGACCCGGTAATGGTGCCTGGTGGCCTGATGCTGCCAGCTGTGGGCTCCCCGGGGTCCAGAGTCGCTCCTATGGGAGAGAATGGCTTTGCTCCGTGGCTTTGGTCACATGAGAAGGCTGGTCCTGACTGTGGATGGACAGGGTCCTTAATTTAAGTCGGGAAAATAAGGGGGCCCTGCCTTCTGGTGACCACTTCTAGAGGCCCCCTATCCTGGACAACCCACAGCCTCTCCCTCTACCCTCCTTGAGAGGCAAACTACTGGAAATAGCCCTTCCTGTGACTTGACTTCTTATGGGATGTCCCATAGGTTTAAACTACTTATTCATTGGAGGTTTGATGCCTGGGGCTTCTGTGAGGTCAGAAGACAATGGTAGGAACAGACTCCCGTTCCCCAAAACCTTTGCCCACCCGGCCCTTCCGACCACCAGGTGGCTCAAGGACCTCAGGGCTGCCCTTGCCACAGGATGTTCCTGGGCCTGCACTTGGCAGGACCTCCTGGAGCCGTCCGTCCACCTAGAGGGCTGATGCCTCGATGGACACTACAGTTTCCTCCTGCTCCAGGCTGACCCCAGGGGTCTGGGCTGTTCCAGTGGCTGTTTCCCTTCAACGGCAGGGAATGCAGTGGTTACTGTGGAAACCAAGGCCCCGGAGGGAATAGGAGCAGCATTCCTGCCTGTCCCTCCAGCTCACACATGGAACTGGGTGTCGGGACACTGCTTGGTGCCAGATCAGGGGTCAGCTGTCCACTGCAGGCTACTGTTCCGTCAGCAGGAAAGCCGGTGCCAGAAATCAGCCACCATCCTTCAGCCCCGCCCAGCCTCTGAGCCTAGGGTCCTCGGGGGGTTCCTCAGAAGATCTTGAAGCCCTTCAGTAGTGTCAGGGTGGGTGCCTTGCGCTTGCTCTGGGCCCGGGATGACTTCACGGTGACCAGCTTGGCCTGGGCTACAGCGGGCATCTCCTTCAGGCTGACGGTGGAAAGGGTGTTGAAGGTGCAGCTGGCCAGCCCCTGACGGGCAGTGAGCGGGGCCTGGTGGGGCAGGGCCCTCTCCTCGGAGATGAAGAGGGGCCGGGCCAGGGAGCTCTTCTCCAGCTCCCGCCGGGCCTCCCGCACCGCCTCGTGGAAGACATGCTGCACACGCTCAAAGTCCAGGCAGGCGGAGACCTCGAAAAACAGGCACCCGAACCTGCCCGCCAAGGCTGCGCCCTCCGCCTCGGTGACCTGCCTGGTGGGGAAGCAGGGTGAGGTGGGGTCAGGAGCACGCACACGAGTCAGGCAGGCCTGGACCTACACCAGGCTCCCACTCACTACTGACTTGGTGATTATGTCATCTTCATCTCTCTGAGACTTAGCTTTCCCAGCAGTAAAATGGGATAATGACGTCTGCCTCTCAGGGTTGTTAAGATTAAAAAAGGTAGCTTGTGTTGAGTGCCTAGCCAGGTACCATGCAGGGTCAGTGCTCAATCAATGGTGGCTGATGTCACCAAAGCCAGAATTTAGGGACCAAGTTAAAGGTAAGGGAAAAGCTGGCTCTGCCCGGACCCTGCCTGTGGCAGGAGGAGGGCAGCCATCCCAGCCCCATTTCTCCTCTGTCCCCCCACGGGGCCCTTGGCCAGGAAATGAGCCCCCCTCAGCCCTCACCTGTGGGATCAGCTCTAGGAAAAGGCAGTAGTTTGGACTGAAGGGTGTGAGGTCACAGCGTCTACTGAGGCGTGCAGGGCCAAGGTCACTCAGGATGCCTGTGGCTGGCAAGGCTCTCAGGGCTTGTGGTGAGTTTTGTCTGCCCACCCAGGGGAGGGTGGGAGAGAAAGGGTGAGAGCATTTCATGGGGAGGGAACAGCACCTATTCCCAGCTCGGGCCTAGGCCACCTACCAGGATGATGGGATCAAGTATTTGCAGCTGGGCCCTGAAAGAGTCCTGAAAGCGTCTGGCCTGGGAACCGGGCCATGGGAACCGGGGTGAGAGGAAAAAGACTGGTTCTTGGGCAGGCCAGGCGTCCAGAAGACGGAAGGGACAGGGGGTCCCTTAAGTGCTGAGACCAAGGTTCAATGGCTGAATCCTCCTGACTGGTCCCCACTACTGAGCTACATCACCCATCACTCCTCAGGACAATGGCACAGCCCCAGAGATGAGCGGAGACACTGGGGGGGGGGGGCGGCTGGTGGGAAAGGGTTTTGGAACCAAGGTTCATTTGGCAGGAGCAGGGGGCTGGGAGTGGGCCAGCCAACCAGGGGAGCACCAGAGAGACAGCGTGACTGGGACAAAAAGGGTCAGGGCAGAGCACTGCTCCCCTCCCCACCCGGGCTGGTGTCCTGTCTATAAGCTCACCACTTCCTGAGGAAGGCCCTTTGAAAGAATATTTAATATTATTTACTTTTTATAATAACCTTGACTCTGAAACTTTGTCATTGGGACTTTCGGAAACAAGAACCCCACGCATGCATGCATACACACGTGTGTGTGAATGGGTGACACAGGCATGTAGTGCTGTCCTTTCTGTTTTATTTTGTGGCAGCCCAGTGAAAATGTAGTCAGTGGTTTGGGAACCACGGCTCTAAACTACGTTTTACTCTTTGGCTGCCAGACAGTCATGGGAGACACTGATCGACGCTCAGCTCAAGTCAGATCTGCCATGTTCGTCAAGTCCTGACCCCTAACCGGGGGGCCTGGTCAAAGACGGAAATGGGGATAGACTGACTTGTTCTCAGGGAACCGATGCTACTTCTCTGGAGCCCATATTCCCTGTGATCTGCTCCCAAACCAGTGCTAGACAATCTGGTTGACAGAGGTTGGTATCAAAATAATGGTCGAGTTTTGTTTTCTTCCCCTCACAGTGAAAACTGGTTTATCCCGATCCAGTCTTCTGACGCCTCTTCTAGGCTCTGGGGTTCCTTTTGGCTTTCAGATCACATGACTGCCCCCGTTCCGAGATGGACTGTCTGGGTCCGAGAGCTTACCCACCTTTGAAGGCCCCTGCTGTGGTAAGGGAAAAGCTGACAGTGGAAAGGGTGAGCCTGCAACCCCCTTCATGAGCCTGCAACCCCCTTTTCCCACAGTCCATCTGACCTGTGCCAAACAAAGGGTCCCCTCCTTGCTACCACCAGTCAATGCACCTTTGGGGCCTGGGAAAGCAGGAGGGACCAGTGGGAGGCTGGTGGGAGGTGGCATACATCGCAGGTGGACTGGCCATATAGGACAAAGGTCAGTCATGGAGAAGGCCAGTGGGATTTCAGTGGCGGCATCACAGTCTCAGATGCCTCGGGGTGGACAGGCAACTCAAATGCGTGGAGAGGGCGGAGGTGGGCCATGGGGAGTGGTGAGGACTGTGGTCGGCTAGAAAGAGCACGCCCTACCTTGAAGCATTCCGATTCCAGGTCTTCTAAAACACAGTGCTGGCCAAGCAAAATATGGCTGCAGTATTTGATGGAAATCTGCCCCCTGGCCCAGCCTGTGACTTCTGATTTGAGTCCAACCCTTTCTAAGAGAAGCTGTCCTCAGCACAGCCAGCCATGGAAGTGAGCCTAGGGCCATGCTAGGGTGAGGCAAGAGCTGGTTGGACCAACACAGACACCTGACCCAAGAAACCAATCAGAGCTGCTCTTCCTAGACTTGGAATTGGGCACAGAATGACCAGCCAGCTGCCCTGAGCGGGAACAGAGGGTCATACAGACTCATGAAAGAAAGGGCGAGGCCGAGAGGGAGCACAGAGCCCCATGAGGATGGAAGGAGTGGCCTCTCCTGACTTTCGGGGTCCAGCCCCTGTGCTGCCCAGACACCCTTCCCTTCTGGCCACGGCTACCTGGAAGGCCACACCCTCACAGCACACCCTCTTTCACGTAAATTCAAGAGATTACTGCTCTTAGCAGCCAAATAATCCCTGAAGATGATGCCCAGACTTCACAAAGGGGGAAAGGGAGCTTCAGAGCTGTGGGGCGAAGGCAAACCGCCGCGCTCACCTGTACTGGGCCATGTCCAGCTTGTTGCCCAGCAGCAGAGTGGGGTAGCTGCGCTGTGTCTCTTTCGCATGCAAAGCGAGCAGCTCCAGGTAGCTGCCGCTGCCCTCGAAGCTCTGGCGGCTGTCGACACTGTATACCACCAGGAAGGCATGGGCCCAGTTCAGATAGCGCTCACAATTCCTGGGGGTGTCCTGGGGCAAAGGAGGGAAGCCCCAGTCAGGGACAGAGGTCATCAGGGTAAAGGCCTTCACCTGAGCTGCCCCATCCCACCTCCCCACTCTCTGGGTCTTTGTATATTGTTCCCCAGCACAGCCCTTGTCAAAGGGGCACTTGAGTGTGGATTTGGCTTGGTGTGAAAGGAGACATTGTCTTGTGAGCCTCCCTCCCACCACCCAGCCAGAGACTTGGAGACCTTGACCTCTGGGGTACAGAGCCAACACTCCAGCATG